AAACTGAAGTTCTTTTTAAATAATTTCTGCTTTCTGGCAAACTTTTGTATCATTTACATCATTTCCAACTCTATAAAAATTTTATTATATAAATTCTACTACATGAAATTCTCAGGTCTCGTTACAAATCAATGTCCAGTCTACAAAACCAATAACCAATAATTTACATCTAGTTAGTGTACTTCTCTCATAACTTGTTGATTAGATAAAGGAGGAAAAAAAAAAACCTTCCAAGTTGTTGATTCAGTGTTGCTGTCCTGTAGAGGATACTTGGCAAATTTCTGTATGTGCTTATCTAACTGGATTGGGAGATGAAAGGTAAAGTAGGTGTCAACCTGAATGTGAGAATAATATTCAAAGATAGATATCATTCACCCAGAAAATAATAAAAGAATCTATATTAATGATCAGAGATAAAATATTAAAAATATTTTGACATAAAATATGTAATATTGAGATACATTATACAATTGGACTAAATATTTTATTTCTAGTTTCTCTAGAATTTCCTATATAATATCAAAATGTAGTGTCCATACCAATAATTAGAATTGTTAATTGTATGACTGTATACCAACTTGACTTAGATGTCTTTACCAGCATAGCAAAAGTGCCTTTGACCACTCTCCACTGAACATCCAGGATTAGTATGATGTCTGGGACACAGTTACATGGTTGGTGGTCAGTTTTTTCCAGTTTCCAAACATTTGTTGGAAAAAAATAAAAGATAGCATGCCTTTGAAAATGCATTTTATCTAGATACTTCCCCATTTCCTTTTTCCTATGAATATAAAACTCCATCCATTTTGAAAAACTCTATCCGATAAGAAATCAGGATTTTGGAATATAGTCTGGTGAAATATTCCTTGATTTCCAAACCCTGAAGACTATTGATGGCTTATGTGACCAAAACTTTACACAGACTTATATGAACCTTGTGACCTAGGAAGGATGTAGCCTAAGCATTCAACTCCAAAAATAAAGCCTCCTCATGTACTACCCTAAATGTGATAGGGTCCTTCCAGTGGTGATCATCTAAACTATTCTGTGGAGGCTGGGTCATTGGTCAGACCTGAAGAAGCCAGTCTGATCTATGCATGTCCTCTGTACAGAGCTCATTGTAATGGATGCACATAGATAGTTCTACAGATGGCATGAATTATCCCTCTGCCTAGGCTATGTGCAGCACTAATGCTAAATGGATATTTGCATTTATTCTCTATCTCAAACATCTACGAAAAATGTGGTAAGCTCTCAAGAAACATATAGTGCTAGAGTTCTTTTCTTCCTGCATGATGACTTGACAAAACAATAGGAATTCCCATTCCCTCATTGTGCACTTATTTCTCTTCTTCCTTCTTTTGGGTGAAAGATGTGGCTGGATTGGCTACCTATTCCTTGAACTTGATGCATCATGTTTTTCTATTTCTTTCTCTCTCTGTGTGTGTCTCATCATCATCATCACCTCTCTCTCTCAAGTTTAAGTTAATACACCCAGAATGGCTTCTGAGTATCCTTCCTGGAACTCCGCAATATGGTCTTCTTTTATATTAAATTCTAGGTTATCCACAATACCCTTCTCTGAAAATTTTAAATGTCCATTTTCTATAGGAAGATTATAATGAGGATTTCTGTCTAGGAATAATTATAGTGCGTGGCTGAAAGCCCTTCAAAATCCTTTTGAATGTGTTGGTCAGTTGTTCAGATCATTTACTTTTCTTTCTCTCAAATAAGGTTAATGATTAAAAATAAAATTCTAGACGATGAACAAAAACTATGGGTCCATAATTCCACGAAGCCATATAAAGTCTGAAGAACACTAAGAATTTGTGGAATTTTCATTTAAGTAGAAACACAGTAGCCCCATTTAAGTTTTATGGTATAAGATAAGCACTTCTGTAATGTCTGATAATGAGGCCTCTATTTTCTTAAAGTGAGGTCTGTGCTTGCCTGGAAGATAACTTTATTTCCTCTCATTGAATTTGGCTACCAGATCTTCAAGGGATTTACTTCAGTGGAATTTTCTCTGAAAATACAGGTTCATTGATTTTCTATACGATTCTAATCTTAAGGGACAATTTCTAGGGGAACTAATGAACAAAGGGATAAAGATCCTGTGGACTCTACTGAATCAGACATGTTCCCTGATCTGGTCATTGGAAGATATTCAAGAAAGACAAGTAGAAAGCACAGCTCAGGGGAGAAGCCAAGATTAATACTAGAAACAAATGTTCAGGCAACACATATTACTACAGAAGGATCATGGGGCAAAAGGTTGAGAGACACTCTTTTAGAGGCAAGCCTTTAAAAGTATATTTACTAACTACAGAATATATGCCAGAGTTATCTTTTATTTATTATTTTATTTAAAAAAATTTTATTTATCCATTTGAAAGAGAGAGAGCACAAGCAGGGGGAGGGAGGGGGTAGAGAGAGAAGCAGACTCCCTGCTGAGCTGGGAGCCCAACGCGGGGCTCCAACCCAGTATCCTGAGATCATGACCTGAGGCAAAGGCAGACACTTTACCAGCTGACTGAGCCACCCAAGCACCCCTAGAGTTATCTTTTAAATAAAAGTCTTACTAGGACATCCTTAGCTTAAAAAATTGTCAGTGGGTTACTACTTTCCCAGGAAAAAGTAAAAACGATTTAACCTAGCACACACAGTCACTGGCCATTTCTAAAAACATATTATTTCTTATCACTTTTTTCCACATATACTATAATTACTAGTCCACATATATTGTTTTCCTTCCTGAATCCCACCACTGCCACATATTCCCATCCTGAACCTAGGTAAACTGTATACACAACTTTTTTGACTCAACTCAACATTCTTTTGGAAATTCTATGTCCCTTATATATTTTTTAAATACATCACCTCTGCACAGACCTTAACTGCAGCTATTATCTGTCATACTGTGATTGTTTGACATATTTTGTACTCCCAGTACACTATAGCTTTTTAAGAGCAAACAACGGTCCTTGGGCACCTGGGTGGCTCAGTCGGTTAAACCATCTGCCTTGGGCTCAGGTCAAGATCCCAGGATCCTGGGATTGAGCCCCGCATCAGGCTCCCTGTTCAGCAGGGAGCCTGCTTCTCCTTCTCCTGCTCCCCCTGCTTGTGTTCCCTCTTTCACTGTCCCTCTATTTCACTTTATTTCACTGTCCCTTTATTTCACTGTCAAATAAATAAATAAAATCTTTTAAAAAATAAAAAAAAACAAGAAAACTAAAAGTCCAGATCAATTTTTAGAAATAAAATAATTTAAATAGCAATAAACATACTATATTTTGATAGAAGGTATATATGAATAGAGTACCTCCAAATTTTAAGTGGATGGTATTTTATCAGCTTTCTACAATGAATAAATTCAATTACATGTCAGTTATTTTGATTCTAATCAAAGAGGTACTAGTGAGTTTTTAATAATACATATAGATATTGGACTTTGAAAGCAGAGAGTTTGAATTTTAAAGTTATAGGCTTGACTGTGGCACAGTTCATGTTGGTAATACCACTGTATTTAATTTAAATTAAAATAGTGTGTTTGATGGGATTTAATTGAGTTCAACACAACAACATTGAGAATCTACTCATATCAGATGATTTAATAATTATCATATTCACTACAAGTGAAAATTGTGACTGTTACAACTAAATCTCTGAGATTGTAAATGCCAATAACATCCTCGTGGTTCCCCAATTCTCTCGCGCTGAGTCCACTCTCTATGAATCACCAGTGCTAGAACCTGATCCCTGATTCAGAGTCATGAGTAGGTAGGAATAAAAGTAAAGGAGCCATTAAAACATCTCAGAAGTTAAATACACTGGGCTAATTTACTATTTCAGGAAGAACTGATGAAACTAATAGATAACTATAGGTTCACCAAGGTAAATATCCAGGATTCCCTAGTTGTCATTTGAGAGCTGGCAACTAGAAAGTTAAAACTTTGTTTCTTACCCTAAATACCTACACTGTTTAGGGTATCTTTCCCAGTCACAGAATGTTAAACTACTGGTCATGAGAAAAGACACTTATTTCATGGTTCATTTCCTAATGCCTGCAATGGAAATAGTATCTTCATCCTCTGAATCCATATAATTCTTATTTTTCTACACCTATACCACTAACCTCTTTCTAATCTGTTATAGTTGTTTCTATTCATGCTTTATCTCCTCTTGTTGAACTCCTTAAACCGCATTTCAAATAATTCTGTTAATCTAAGTCCAATAATATATATACTAAGTGCTAAAAGAATCTGTGTAATAAAAGGGTCTTTTTAAATACTACACCCTCATATCCTTCCATTTGCACTCCTTGTAAATAACTTGCAACCTTCTATTCCTGTTGTCTGTAGGGCAACTTCAATCTACACCGAATCATACCTGTCACACTTGTCATTCAGGCTTGCTTTCCTGTTGGAACACTTTTCTGAACCAATTTAATCAAATCAAGTGGGCTCTCTACCTTATTTTGACATCTATAGCATCTTGTGTACATGTCTCTATCAAAACATATTTGTTAATAAATATCATTTGTTTGTCCATCTCTCTTTGGGCTGCTATTATATGCCAACCAAATAGCCACAATGCGTGACACGTGATTCATAACAATATTGATCATTTTATACTTTTCTTCATGCATATCTTTTAAAACACAAAGGTGCAATCTTCATTTTACAAAAGCATTAAACAGGATGGCTTCTGACCACTACTAAGCCCACCTATTTTCTATAACACACTGGGAAATACATGTTCTCTCTTTCCTTTCAGATTAGGCTTATAGTTAGAATACTTTGAACCTGATTTTCAAGTTCTGAGAATATGCATACAATCCTCCCTTACTTGGGAAATGCAAGTGCAAATGACATGAAAACAGTTACATAAGGTAAGACCAAAAAAAAAAAAAAATCAAGCACTATGGTACAAGGATACCATCTAACACCTAAAATAAATCAAATGCAGCAAGCAAAATATGCTATGCTGAACATTAGTGTCCCTGAGCTGCATGGAGGACAAGCAACAACAGGTCTTATTCTTTCCTATAGACTGACTCTTTTCTTAGTTTCATTTATTTTTAATTAAGGGGGGGGAAGCTAAACCAGGTGCATTGATTATGAATTAAAGAAGACTCCTAGGCCACAAGGGAAGCAGTAAAATCCTGCTGTTTTCAGTGGCAATACCAGAAAAAAGCAGGGAAACAGAGAGATTGGTGTTTATCATCAAAAAAATGCAGTAGATGTGTGTTATCATATTTCCTCCTGCTGCCTAGCATGCATTTAATTATTTATAGAATAAACTGGCAGATGTAAAATGCACAATTCCATTTGTTATAATGTAATGTGAAATAAGAACTTTTTGTGTAAAAATAAAAGAGAATTTTTGTAGAAATTATAGGAGTTAAATCCTTTTTAGTGTGACTGTGTTTGCCAAGAGAAATTTGAGCATAGCTCATTGTAAGAAGATCTGGAACTAGAGTCGAATGCAGAATAAAACCTTTCTGATCTACCAGCTATCCGTAAGTGTTTTAACCTCTCTATTTCCATATCTGTAAAATAGGGATAACAATGATTCTTATGTCACAATTTGTTTTTATTTATTTTTTATTTTTTTTTTTATTTAAAGATTTTATTTATTTATTTGAGAGAGAGAGAATGAGAGACAGAGAGCATGAGAGGGAGGAGGGTCAGAGGGAGAAGCAGACTCCCTGCCGAGCAGGGAGCCCGATGCGGGACTCGATCCCGGGACTCCAGGATCATGAACTGAGCTGAAGGCAGTCGCTTAACCAACTGAGCCACCCAGGTGCCCCACAATTTGTTTTTAAACACTAAACAAGGTAATGCATCCAAAACACTTAGCATGGCAAATAGTTAATGCTTCACCAATGATAACTAACCTTAATGGTAGCTTATGGCTCAAATGGTATTTTCCATCACTTTATTACTATAGAAAGGAATTCATTATATCTTTAATGGTGTATAGCATTGCATCTAATCTGTATTGCAAATTTACTAAATGGTAAGCACCAAAATATTTATAGGCTCATCTATGTTCTTGTTCATTTGATAAATAAATATTTATTTTGAATGAATCTATTATGTGGTATCAGTGTGGAAAAAAGAGGTAATAAGATGTGCATAGTTATTGGGGCACTTGGGTGGCTCAGTTGGTTAAGCGACTATCTTCAGCTCAGGTCATGATCCTGGAGTCCTGGGATCGAGTCCCACGTGGAGCTCCCTACTCCTTTTTCTCCCTCTGACCCTCCCCCTCTTGTGCTAATTCTCTCTCTCTCAAATAAATAAATAAAAATCTTAAAAAAAAAAAGATGTGCATAGTTACTGTTCTAATGGAGCTTATTATTGGAGAGGAGAGAACAGAACAGGGTGGAGAGAAGAGACAGGAAGGGAGGGGTGGAGGGGAGAGTTTGGTCACATATTAAATATAGAGACAGACAACAATTGATGGATTACAGTTTTCACAATTGCTATGAAAACAAATTATAAAATGCTACCTAATTGCTTATGAAAATTGGAAATGGTATAGCACTTTAGAAGACAGTGGTAGTTTCTGACATAAGTAAACATACTTTTCCATACAACTCAGCAATTGTCCATTCCCTGATATTTACTGGAATGAACTGAAAACTTATGAATGCACTAAAACCTGCACACAGATGTTTATGGCAGCTTTATTTATAATCGCCAAAACCTGGAAGAAACCGAGATGTCCTTCAGCAGGAGAATAGATAAACTGTGACATGTCCAGGTAATGGAATATTATTCAGTACTAAGAAGAAATGAGCTATTGAGCCATAAAAAGGCATGGAAGAAATGTAAATGAATATTATGAAGTGAAAGAAACTAATATAGAATGGCTATTGTATTATTCCAATGATATGACATCTGGAAAAAGAAAAACCAAGGAGACAGTAAAAAAGATCAGTGACCACTGAGAGTTAGAGGGTGGCAGGGATGAATAAGTAGCTCATAGGATTTTCAGGGCAGTGAAAACACTCTGTATGATACTACAATGGTGGATACATATCATTATTCATTTATCAAAACCCATAGAATGTACAACACCAAAAGTTAACCCTAATGTAAACTACAGACTTTGGGTACTAATGTTGTTCTTCAATTGTAACAATTCTGGTGGGGGATGTTGGTAGTGGGGGAGGGTATGGAATGGATTTTGGAATTCAGCCTACACTTCTATTTTGAAAAGTAGTTCAGTAGTATCTTCTACCCATACCCCCACCAATATTACATGGAGATATTTATCTTAATATAAGTGAATAAAAGGTATGGTGTAGAGGAAAGAACACCAGTCTATAAGTGTGGGCATTTAAAAATCTGTTCCCGGGACACCTGGGTGGCATAGGCGGTTAAGTGTCTGACTCTTGGTTTTGGCTCGGGTTGTGATCTCAGAGAAGTGAGATTGAGCCCCACCTCAGGCTCCACACTCAGCGTGGAGTCTGCTTGAGATTCTCTCTCCTTCTCCCTCTGCTCCTCCTGCTCTTGCACACTCTCAATCCTCTTTCTCTTAAATAAATAAATAAATCTTTAAAAAAATAAAATTCTGTTTCCAACTCTCCAATGGACTAACAATTTTTCTTAGGTAATTTTGCGGCCTCATGCTATAGATTTGGAAACTGAGGCTCAAAGAAATTTCCATCTAACGGGGGTCTAAAATGTTAAGCTTATTCTCTTCTGTGGCAGTATATGACATCAAGAATATTCTAAGTTTCTCCTAAAATATAAACATTACTCTGCTAGCCATGTTTAAACAAGAGGCAGGCACATAAAGATAAGAGGTGGACAACCATTACCCATATTATCTAAATAGCTCAAGAGGGTAATCATAATTGTACTATACCTCATTTATCAATATTAATGGCTATTCTGAGAGATTTTGATTGTACATAATGGCTGTGCTATGTGTCTATTATATAAATTGTAGGAAAGTTGTTATTTTCAATATTCTATTTCTGAAAATATTAAACAGCATTTCCCATAATAAAGTATATTTATTTAATACAGAGGACATCCTCTTTGCATTGTTAAAATACATGTTTTTATTAAAATTTGCACCTTCCCTCCTTCTCCAAAACCATTATATACCTTGGGTTATAACATACTAAGTTCCTGTATTCCTTAGAATGCTTAGAACACACATCTCTATTTATGGTGAAACTAGTCCTGAGGAGCAGATTTTTTTAAACTGGTTATTATATACTTAGCATTCTTGTTACCAGTACTGAGCAATCCCTCAGGGTAGGCTTCCAGTACGAGGTACAGATGAAGACTTAACACTTGGAGATACCTTTCTAACCCTTGAGAGGAAGCCATAATCTTTGTCTTTGAGAAAACTCTTCTAATGACTACTTTACTCAGGGTTTGTCTATTGCCTTATTATTTTTAACTTAGTACTATATAAACAGTACCCTAATGTCTTCATTTCTTTCACATACAGTTTCCTGCATTTTGAACCCATTGTTGACTACTGTATTATCCCCTACACATCTGTCTCCTTCACTCAGATGAAAACTCTTTTGGTAAGAAATTGAAACTAATGAATTTTTTATATTATTTTGAGAATCTAGTATAGTGCTCTGCATACAATATATGCTCAGAATATGTTAAGGTAAAGCATCAAATTTCCTTTAAAAGGAGGGTTGTTTTTGTCTGATTGTGCATTCAAGTGCCTGCGAACGGACCTGTCCTGTTTCCCCTAATTTGAATGTAAGAATAGTATGTTTTCATGTATATATGCCTTCCAAGTATTTTGCTATGGTGAGTGTCCAAAGAATGTGTTGGGCTTTTTTTAGATGTGTTTTGACTGATCAAATATATCAATAACTTGAGCTCAAATATGAATAAATGTCAAAGCAATAAAACATCTCTTTTAAAAAAAGAAATTACGAATTTAAGCACTGCACTTTTGCTTACTTCCTATATGGAGACACATACATTTTAATTATTTAATAGGATGAATCATGGGATCTTGAACACAGTAAATACTTGTAAATATTCATTAACAATATCAATGACTTTATATCATGAAAAATAAACACCAGAACCACAGACAAACATCATATCAAACTGTCCATTTTGCTATACTGTGTATTGCTTTTTAGGTCTATTTTGAAGATGACATTTAAAAGTCAGATATTACAAATAGACTGTACTGCTATAGAGCTCAAGCATTTTTTTTTCTCATTCAGAAAATAGATTTTCCTTTTTTCCCCCATTTTGTTGCATACAAATACAGCTTCTATACTACATAAAAATCCATTTTAATTTAAAGAATGCAATTAACACTTTGACTATCATTTGCAAAATGCAATAAGTATGACCCATTGACAGTCCTCAGTTAATGTGTGGATCAATATTGTTTGGTAGCAATTCATTTACTGAGGAAGAAATGAGCAATGCAGATTAAAAAGAAGAAGATCATTTGCCTTTAATTTTCTTAACAAATCTAGGACATCCAATAAATCGTGTTCTGTCACTTAAATTCTTTTACAGAGCATTTGAATTTTAGAATAATATAAGTACTTTAATGTTTCGATTCACTTTTACAATCGGATCTGCTAAAAAGAACTATCCACACTAATTATCAATTTGTCAGAGATTGTCACAGCTCTAAAAATTATAAAAACCTGAGAGTTCAAGTCTTTAATTTATCTACCAAAAATTAATTCTCAGAAATAAAGAAAAAAAATTAGATTCCCATCTCCCTATCCCGTAGTGGCTATTCACTTCTCAAATTATTCTTTATTATCAAACAAATAATAATTGTAGTAATATTAATTTTCTCTAATCTCACAAACATACAGCCGAGTTCACATTTTTATATGACAATGTAATTAGTGAGGGTTTTTAAAATAGCTTAAATAGAAGGAACATAGAAAGAATGTGGCGTCTTTCTGAAGATCTATTTGAAAAAGAAGACCATCAGAGAGAAGTTTAGGTTAACATAAACAGACTTAATGTAAAGAGAATTCCTACAAATTATTTCAGTAAAAGCCTTAATAGTTCGGAAGTATTGCTGTATCACTATAATCAGAAATCCAATGCTCATATATGCCCAATAATTTGATATATTGCAATGCACTTTAACAGAGATTGTATCTGATACTATATCAAGTGGTATACTTATTTGTGCGAGATAACTTATAATTTTTTTTATTTTCTACATGCTAGTGGTGAATCTGATTGCCAGCTAAATTGGCATCTTTTAAGCATTCCATTAAAATCTCTAGCAACTCTGGAAAACAGAACAATCATCTGAGGTGAGATACCTGAGAAATGTAATTAGAATAAGGAAATCAGTTTTTTTATGAGACACATTGAATCTCATGAATGAAGGAAAATTCATCTATTTTCCTTATTAAATATATTCATAGGTCCTTTCATTCTTAAAACAATCACAAGACTTCTGGTTTTTGGTCCAGCTTGTGAGAAGCTTGTAAATCATCCCTCCCTTCTTCATAAACATAAAAAGCTGAACAAACTAAAAATCAAGGACTCTTCTTAGATCTTTCGAGAATTGCGGTCACAGGGGAAACTGGCTCTCTACCAGATTAGAGGGACAGTCAAGCAGGTACAGAGAATCATAGCTCATCAGAGCAGAAACTGAGGGGCAGAAACCACTGAAGGATCCAGCACCAGGGTGGGAAAACAAACTGTAACTGTCAGAATGCTGGAGGTCCAGTGTGGACAATCTTGAGAGTTAAGAACTCCAGAGGTGTCCAGTCGTAGGGGATCCTCATACTTTCATAAGTTTTACGTCCAGGGATTCTACCAGGTTCTCACAATGAAGATGGGAGAAAAGTCCCCCTGCACTTCCACTATGGGGAGAGAATAGCTGTTTCGGAATACTCCCAGAACATTATCTTGTTCTTAACAAGGCCTGACCTGGAGGAGAACGATTTTACCAGAGCCTAATCAATCTGGGAGAAAGGAAATTCTAGCCTCATGCAGCTTTCTTGTCACATCTAAGGGGGAGGGGGACTGAGAAGCACATGTGAAGGTCACAGCCCAGAGTCACTGAAAGACTGAGACCTAATCATAGAACTATTGAAAGCTTCCCTTCCCTCCATACCTTGACCACATCAATAGCACTCCTTTATAATAATAAGGGGTTCTAACTGAAAGAGATGCGCATCTCAGGTCTATTGAAGAAGTCCTAAGAAAACCCAATGATTACAGGGGAGACCAAAACAGGGATGTCAGGAGAAAATATAGCCTCTGACATCTATGGCAATAGTAAACATGGCTTGACTCCTAACCAGATAAAAAAATGTCTTATACTAAAGATCTACTTACATCAATTACTTATATCCAGCACACCATGTCTGGCTATAAACATAAAATTACAAGGCATACTATAAGATGAAAAGTACAATTTGAAGAGAAACCCAACTCAGATATGGGAGAGATTTTGAAATTATCAGACTAGAAATTTAAAACAACTATGATTAATATGTTAAGACTTTTATAAAACAACCTCAACAATGATAACCAAAATAAAAACATATGTATTATATTCTGTGCTCTTAGGGATACTAAAATTATACCTACTCAGGCTCACAGTCTATCAGAGTGGGCATTTTATTCTAAATATTTATTCTAAATATTTTATTAGAATTGATAATTGATATAATATTTAGTCTCTTTCCATCTATTTTGCTGCTAGAATGCCATGACCTACGTCCTCTGTGAATTATCAATATTCCCTATGCCCACAGTTTTCATGTTCACTAAACTCTACATACACATATAATCCTTAATCCTAACACATTTTACACAACTTACTTGTCTTCTAATCCATCTAACTGCTTTGTTTCTTAAGCTTCTCTCAAATTTTATATCTTTCTGTGAATGACATTCTTTTTTAAGAATATAAGAAACCAGTGAAGTTTGACATTTCATGATGAATCTGATTCTATTTTTTTTTTTTTTAATATCCCATTTACTCTCAGGATTAGTTGGAAAAGGGAGAAAAGAAATCTAAAAGGTGATTTTTCAGTGATCTTATGCGTTTGCCATACCTGTTTTCAAAATATTTTTTTCATTTTATTCTTTTATTTCAATATTTATGATTCTAACTTGGTACTAATATTTCTCTCATTCCAACAAAGACTTTAAAGATTTTCTTTGATTTTCCTATAGTTCTTCAAAATATTTTGCTCTTTGTTCCAATTAATAATTTATGTACTATTTTTCAAGGGTATACCTTTAAGTATATCTAATTTTAAATATCTGTGATAGGCAGAACATTTAAATGTTAAATTCTTTTTCAATAAACCAAAATTTATCTATCTTTTTACACATTTTAGAATATAACTAATGCACTAACAGAATAGAATCTCCTTTATCTCTTTACAGCTTTTCACACAGCATTATCTCTTATGATAGTTTTTTAAGTTCTATTTTAGCTTTCAGGTATTTGGGAGAGTAACCAAAAATATCCACTTCAAATTAATTTACTAAATGCCTTACTAAAATATAGTTTATTACATCTATAACACTTCCTTCCATTTAGTAGACTTGGGGTTTTATAAAACTACATATTTTTTAAGATTTTTGTATTTTCAATATATACTAATAGGACTAATAGAATGTATTTCTCCTTCAGATTTGATGTTTTTTATTAAAAGAGATAGCACAGGTTTTTTTTTTTTTAAGATTTTATTTATTTGAGAGAGAGGGAGTGCAAGTGGGGTGAGGGGCAGAGGCGGAGGGAGAGAGAGACTCTCAAGCCGACTCCACATGGAGAGCAGAGCCTAATGCGGGGCTCAATGCCAGGGCCCTGGATCACGACCTGAGCCGAAGTCATGAGTTGGACACTTAACTGACTGAGCCACCCAGCTGCCCCGAGATAGCACAAGTTTTAATTGATTCATATTCCAATGTGAAAGCATATATCCTAGAGATTAACTACTGAAAGGAATTTTAAGGCTACTTGGCAGTAAATTCTTTGTGTTCAATAAAAACAAAACAAAACAAAAAACAACCATATATAAAATGAGTATTTATTTTCCAATTATTTAGATTTCCATATATCAGTCTGTACTGGCAGGAGAATTTAGTTAAATAAAGGATTTATTTCAGTTTTTTTCTTTCTACTGATTCTTTAAGGAAGCCATTATTGGTATAATCTGAGGCATCATAAAATTAATTTCTTGTCACCAAGTACCTCCCACACCCAGGTGTCAGAGTGCCTAAAATTCTGCCTCAAAGATCATCCTTCTGCAATCACTAGGAAAAACCTTTCCCCCGGGCAAAGCCAGGAGGGGAGGACTCTTAGAAAAAGGAAGGTGACAGTTCTGATTTAGTTTATCTCTCAGACAGGCTCTCTCAGACAAATGAACCTTGGGAATACCCTTCAAAAGGGAAGAGTATCTGACTCAAGCCTGTATTTTCTCAAATTATTTTGTTTTGATGACAGTTATTGACCATTTTTCTATTTAATTCCTTAACTACTTCTGGAGACTCCTGCTTCTGACCTTTCCTTTCTCATCTTCCAGCTTTGAGCAGTCTGGTTCTA